CTAGGTATGTACTAATATTGGAACAATAGGAAGGAAGCCATATAAACAAAATCAAGAATTAAAATATTCTTTTGGGAGTATTATGACTCCCAAAAGTTGTCTTATTTAATGAAGTATTATACCCACAAAATGCTTAATTAATACAATACTTAAGCATTAACATACTTTTTTAATACATACAGTAGCTATTTAAGTATGATACTAACACTTTAAAATTTGAGACTCTAAAATATTTAAACATACTGATTGATAAGAAGTTATCAAATTCTTCATTAAGATTGCAAGTGCCAGTAATCAATTTCCATGCGTTTAGTAAAATACTATAATAAAAATCTAAAATGTTTAACTAGATTTGATTCTTTTTAAGGGATTTCCATATTCAGCATCTGCAACTATCAGTATACAGGTGATAATGTAGAATAACATGGGAAGAATTTTTAATACTCTGTCGTCACATGAGGAAAGTACTTCTGTATGTGGAATATTCAAAGATTGCAGATGTAAAATATCGGCAATAACTTACAGATAAGACTTAACAGGGTTTTATAGTTATCAAATCTGGGCAGCAAACCTCGGATGGTCACTGGAAAGAAACAAAGAGGTGCTGAATATTCTTTCCTACCCTAAGTAAGCGTTTTTATTTATTTATTTTGCAGTCAACAACCTGGTACTCCTGATATTAGATTGCTGAGTAAATGTTACAACTGTTTTCTTCCTTTAATAAAGATGGATAGATAAGAAAGAAAAGGAAGAGAGGAAAAAGATTGGATATAGCATAGAAATACATGCCACAATAGCATTGTGAGATGGAATACTACAATTTTGTTCAAACATATTATGGGAATGAACCAAGGTATTTATGAATATTTCACTTGGGGACATACCTAAGTAACTTCTTATGTAGGCTGACAGAGCCACTCCTGTTTCCTTTGTGGCCTAACTGTCTCATCCGTTTTAGAAAAAAGGAAGCTTATTTCTTAAAGCAGCCATTTTGTGAATTTGCCACAATATGTTACAGTGGAATTTTATGGGGGATGGAAGACAGAAACCCGAAATAAGCATCAAAGATAAATAATTTTGATCTGTAGAAGTGCAATGGAAATGGGTCCTAATAATCAAGGAAAAGAAAGGCTCATAAAGTTAATTGCTTTTACTGTCTGAACAGTAATGTGTAGAAATACACATTATCTGGGAAATTATCAGCTGATAAACTCTGAGTACAGGAAGACAAAAATGGTTTAGGAAGAGTAACTAAGTGTCTGACTTGAAGGACAAAAATAAATTCTACCTTGGAAATCACTGGGAATAAAAAATAAAATTCTCTGTTACGTTTGTTGCAAGAGAATAGTGCATCTTCACACAGCTATAAAAATTCTGATAATGGCATTTCCAAAAAGGTATTTAAATGTATAAAATCTATCAAAAACATGCAGAATAATAATTGAATTTAATTTTTCTGATTCAATAGCATTTTAACTACTAGTGATCAAAATATTTGTCATATTAGACTTAGATTTAGAATAACTCTATTGTCTCTTTACATGTACACTAATGGTCATACATTAAAATGAAATTTCGTTGCATACAGCTTTCAAAGGGTGACCACCTCCAATATACACTGCATAAACATGACAAAAATGTAAACAACTAAATAAAAAATTACACATATGCCCACATACCCACATATATTACATGACACAGAGAAACAACACAGTCTAGTTCAGATGTATAAATGTATGGTGAGAAAAATGAATCTTGTGAGTTTACCAGATGGATGGCATAGGGAACAAAGCTGTTACAGAATCTGGTAGCCCTGCTAGAAACACTTCAAAACTTCCTCCCAGAGGGGAACAACAGAAACAGACCATAAAGCAGTGGTAAAATTTAAAATTTGTTACTACCAGTTCTGTGGGCGTGGCTTGGTGGGTTGGGGGGGTAATGTGACTGGATGGGCGTGGCCAACTTTTTTTTTAACTTTTAAAACCATTTTTTCTACAACATCTTCAGCCGAAGAGGTTGTAAAAAAAATGCTTTTAAAAGCCTCTGACGATCCCAGCTGAGTTGCCTGATCGGCAGAGACTTTTAAAAGAAAAAAAGCCTCTGCTGATCAGACAACTGGGATCATCAGGGATCATCAGAGGTTTTTAAAAGAAAAAAAGCCTCTGCTGATCAGGCAACTCAGCTGGGATCGTCAGAGGCTTTTTTTTTCCTTTTAAAAGCATTTTTTTGGTCGAAGAGGTTGTAGAAAAAATGCTTTTAAAAATAATTTTAAAAAAGCCTCTGATGATCGCACGGCTCAGCTGGGCTTGGGGGAGGGCAGGGATTTTTGCTACCGATTCTCTGAACCACCCTCCTCCATAGCTACTGGATCGGGCGATCTGGTCCAAACCAGGAGCATTTCACCCCTGCCGTAAAGTAGGTGTGTGGGATCTCTAACAATGCTTTAAGCTCTAAGGACATAGTGCTTATAAGCAGTATTCTCAATAACAGGAAGCGAGCTTCCTATAATCTTCTCAGCTGTCCTTACCACTCTCTGTATGGACTTTCTATCTGCGGCATTGCTACCACCAAACCAAACAATGATGCAATTTGTTAAAATGCTCCGAAGGTGCCTCTGTAAAACATGGCCAGGACAGAAGGGGAAAGATGTGCTCTCCTCATCCGTCACAGGAAATACAGACGCTGGTTTCCACACTTCACTAAGGATGACATGTGGAGAAACCAATTCATATTGTTATCTGCACCGCCGGATACTTAATACTGTTGACCACCTGTACAGCTGCATCCTTGATATTGAGTGGAGTATGACTATGCCGGCTCTTTTTAAAATCTACAACAATCTCCTTTGTTTTATTAACATTTGGAACCAGGTTACTTTTATTGCTATCATTACTTGATTTTAACCACGTGCACAGAGTTTAATTTATTAGTACCATTCATTTGTCTTTAATTACACTGAAGGCAATGCATCTAGTGTATTTTTGACACATATTGTATTTTATACATCTCAACCATTCCATTTATCAACTGGAAAAGAAGTTTAGCTGTGTGATAGATCATATTCTTTGTATGAAAAGGTTGCCAGCATCACACCATGGCAGATATTGTGGAAATTTTTTGGAAACTGTGGATAATTATTGCTCTTGGCAGTGACTATACAGTACTAAACTGCAGGGAGCCGTGGTCAGAGTTGATAGGAAGTTCTTTCAAATGTTCATAAGAAATACAGGCAGCAGTAAAGAAGAAATCTACTATTGCAGACTACAGTATTTTTTTTAGAGAAATCAATAACTCCGAAGGTTACAGTTTATAGCAGGTTTCTCACCTTTTCATGATGCATTTTGATCATATTCTGAAAATTAGTTTTTGTTAGTTGTACCTAGTGTTCAAGTACACTGTGGTTTTAGATTAATCCTTATATCAGCTTTAAACCATATTTCAACCAGAGTGCATACAATAAAGTCTGTTGAATTTCACTGTAGGTTATTAGTGTACCACATCTCTTTTTTATGAAGTTTTAAGAAGCCTCATAAAAGATTTTCAACTTTGTAAACAACGTTTAGTCCCCTGCCCCCCTGACTTCACTCTTGCTATCACAGGAGTGATTGAATCTAATATTAAAAATAAACAGGAAACTGTAAAATACGTACTTGGAAGCAATTGATCATCATTATAGTGAAGTCCAACTTAGGCTATATGCTCCTTTATTAAGCCCGTGGTGGCGCATTAGTTAGAATACAGTATTGCAGGCTAACTCTGCCCACAGTCAGGAGTTCGATCCTGACTGGCTCAAGGTTGACTCATCCTTCCATCTTTCTGAGGTTGGATAATTCCTTTTGTAAAATAAGATTGTTGGGATCAATATACTGACTCTAAACCGCTTAGAGAGGACCGTAAAGTACTATGAAGCGGAATATAAATCTAAATGATATAGCTAAGTGGTATTAAAGATATATCTGTCCTTCCCAGAAAATACCTTTCAATCTGCATCATTCTCTATAAGAAAAGATGGAAGGGAGAAGGAAGAGAAGGAGGAAATTAAAAGAAACCTAAATGATTAAATAAATAATTAAAGTGAATATATGTCGGCAGCTTCAGTCACATATATACAGATACAGACAAATAAATAATATATACTCAGTGAAAATTATATTACTGCTTTTCAGATATCTTGGTGACCTCCACAAAGGCTAAACATTCAAGATTGTATGCTTTCTTGAAATCTGGTGCAAGATTCTCTTCCAGTATAGCATAATTATGTATTTTTCACCAAAAATGGTACAATAATTTCCTTTAAGAATTTTTTTTTAAAAAGAGTGAAGAAACCATATTTATACAAATAAGCAGATCTAAATCAAAAGTGTAAATCTTTACCTTTAATTTCATCATTAGCAGTGTATACAATGTATGGATCTCATAGTTTTTGAAAATGAATTGTTGATGTCTTATCATTTTAATTCAAAACAATATATAGAAAGCAATCCTTATGTATGTATGATCTTGAGTATGTATGATCTTGAATAAGTAATTGTTATTTCAAAAATATGTATATTTGCTTTAAGAAAGCTAACGTATTATGGAATGCACATATACCCTAAAATGTAAGTTTAAAGGAAATGAAAAACATTTTCTTTTGATAACATCCCTTTTCATATTTCTTGAAAATGAATAAAAAACTCCTTTCAAAATTTTATATTATAGTTACTACCCAATCTGACAACATGTAATATGTTTTATTACTGCTTAATGTAACTGTTTGAAGCCAAAGGGTGTCCAATTTATGATTATGCCATTTCAAATTCATTTCTGAGATAGCTATAGATAATATGGATAGTACACCTGTTAAATACAGCAGTGCCTCAACAGTGAAATGTTTATTTCTATAAAGTATCTAGATGTCATAAGAACTTTTTTGCTTTTATTTAGAGAATACAATAAAGAAAAACATGGAAGATCATTCTGACAGCCTTGTGATATTAATCCCTGTTCTTTATTGACAGATGGAAAGGTTGAGGTTACAAAAGAAGGAGTAAAGCTGTGCACTATGGGGCCTGGGAAAGTGTTTGGAGAACTGGCTATCCTATACAACTGCACCCGGACAGCTACTGTCAAAAGTAAGATTATTTGAAATATTTAATCCCGAAGAATTGTTGACAAATCCTGATAAACTCAGTTTATCTTCCAGTTATTTATCGGTGTTCCTATTTTGAAAAGAAACAAGAGGTCCACTTTTATACAGTTGTCATTCGTGGGTTTTTTCCCCTTTCAATTGAGGATTGTGCTGTGTAAATTAATACTTTGTATGTCAGACTTATTTATTTATTTGCTCATTAATTCAATTTATATGGCTGCCAGAGGATTCTGAAGGGATAACCTAGGTTTAAAACACCAAATACAAAGGAAAATGATAAAACCATAAATCATAACAACATAAAATATTGGACATCAGAATACTATTCGTTTAGTTACAACTGGCTAGCACTTGAATGAAGAACTGTTTTTAGGGCCTTTTTAAAGGCCAGCAGGTTGGAGGCCAATCCCATTTCAAACAATATTTAATGGGACGTAATTTAGACTTGCTGTATTGTATTCAAATTCACCCAGTAAATTTTCCATGCTTCCATTGTCTCAAAAACGTCCACTGCCAAAACTGTTGTTTTCTATCCAAAATAGGACAAATAAGAAAATAAAACAGTACAGTAGTAGATGAAATCAAGGAACTGGTAGAAAACAGAAGCTTGTGCAGTTGGAATTGCTGATTCGTTTGTCATTTCTTATATCACCTTCACTTTAATAGCTCGTTCTCTTTCTTGTACTTAGGGCAAACAATCTTTCCGACAACTGTTCACATTTATTGTTTGACATTGTTCCATATGTAGTATTTCTAACACCAAACACCTTCATGCTTGGTTTTCTGTGAATAATTTTAGAACCACACAATTCTTTCCTCATTAAAATGGTGAGGTCAGAAATGGTACAGGTAGTCCTCAACTTACAACGCTTCATTTAGTGACCGTTCAAAGTTACAACGGTACTGTTTTAAAAAAAATAACATATGACCATTTTTCAAAGTTATGACCATTGTAGCATCCTCTTGGTCACATGATCAAAATTCAGATGCTTGGCAGCTGGTTCATATTTATGACGGTTGCAGTGCCATGGGGGTCACGTGATCAACTTTTGCGAGCTTCTGACATCCAAAGTCAATGGGGAAGCCAGATTTACTTAACAACCGTGTTACTAACTTAACAACTGCACCGATTCACTTAACAATTGTGACAAGGAAGGTTGTAAAATGAGGCAAAACTCACTTAACAAATGTTTCACCCAGCAGCATAAATTTTGGGCTCAATTGTGGTCGTAAGTTGAGGACTACCTGTATTTTCTTGAAATGAAAAATTGTGGAATGAAAATAGGCAAATTTTTAATTTGTAACCTTCCCTAGTCCTTGCCTCGTGGGGATTTTAAACCCTTTAACCATATCTGTCTTCTACTATAAGCAGTGCCTTCGTGTGTAATATGGTTTGGAATGTTAACAAGTGACTTCAGTGTAGTTTCTCTTGCTCATTAATGCATAAATAAGTGAATGGTGGTCATGATTGTAATTAGTTTTATTCCTTTCCAAAGTGCAGGTCACTTTATTCCTTTCCAAAGGGCAGGTCACTTAGTTAGCACTTGGAAGCTTTTCAGCAACATCTAGATGAAGACACTCAGTTTTTTTGAAGTACCAAGTGCTATTTAAGAAGCATTATTGACTAATAAATTTCAATTATTACTGTTACTTCTGAAGCTCTGATTGGAACATCTGCTTGTACTTCTGTCTGCATAATAATTCAATTTACTTGTTGGCACTCTGAAAAGACAGAAGTTAGGAGGACTAGTAATGGTATAAAAATAAGGATAATGTGAAGTGTTCACTTTTAAAAAGAAAACTTGAATATACAGTACTTGAAGAGATTATTAAGATCCTTAATGCTTATTTAAGCCTTTGCTAGTTAAACTCTTATTTTAATCTTACAGAATTTGTGAAGAACGAATTCTTTTTCAGTTGGAGGTTGTAGCTTTGGGGTATGCAGTTCAGGAATCATGAAAACATTATATCATGATCCAAAAGTATGCAAGTAAGAAAAACACTTTAAACAAGAGAACACTATTCAAAATAGCACCAACAAAAACTCAGAAATTCTTAGTAGCGCAAAATGAGTTTCAAAGCCCTTTTAAACCCCAAAACTGATGGAGTTCAATTTATATGTCTGATATTTCTTGAACATTCTATATTAGTGACTGTTGCATCTTGAAAATGGCCCATATACATTGTCTCCATGACTGATCTTCAGACTCAAGTTAAGTACATTTAAGTACTTACATACTTGTGAGCCTTCAAATAAACTGCCTCTGTTCACCATGATATGGAGATAGATTTATTCTATTTAGGGGCCACCAAACTTCTGTGTGATTTACAAGATTCAAAGCAATAAAACAATGAGAACAAACCTCACATGCATCTGGGAGACACAAGGTACTTAACTGAATAAAATTCTACAAGATCAGGAATCAGCCAAGTTTACAATGCCTTTTCAACATCATCAGGGTGTAAGACATATGGCTCTCCCAAGGGATACTATTTCAGTACTCCCTCCTGTCAATTTTCAGAAGAAAAGGAAGTTTCATTTCTTTGAAGAGACAGACTTTTAGCATCTAGAAAAAGAGAAGTAAGCTGGGTCCTTTGTCTTGTTCACTGTTTAATCAATACACCTTTTAAAAACTGTATTTTACTTCTGTTTTCGTTTTCAATCTTCTATTTATTTACAACAAATCAACCAAGAAATTTCTAAAGTAATATTTACTAAATTAAAATGGTCGAATTGAAGCATTTTATATAAGCTTCAAACAAAAAGAAAGGACTATATCCATCCTGAATGTTTAAAATTTAAAATTTATTCTCGTTTCTAGCCTCCTGCTACTTCTAGGCTCTTGCTACTATCATAGTAGTTTACAAATTTAAAGCATTTGTATTAAGTTCTGAGATTCACTCAAAACTGAATTTGAATCCTGGTTATGATAGGATATTATTGCCAGCAGAATGAGAAAGAATTTTGAAGGATTTGATGGCTACTATTTTTTTTTCCATTGGAAAAAAGCTACATAAAATCCAGCAAACTCTGAATAAATCTCTTTTCTTGAACAAAAGACCCAAAAGTATGGGGGGCACAGACAAATGTTAAAAAGGGGTAGGGATTTGATCACAGGATTGCCCACACCATCTTGACTTTTTTAACTTCCCTGAAGTTGCACCTGTTTGCAGATTAAATGAACAATCAACACTGTTAATGTTTAGCCAGCATAATAATTATTATTACTTCTAAAAAAATATTTTAGTTTTCGCAAAAAAATAAAAATAAAAAAATTGCAATGAGCCAGTGCAGTTAAATTCAGCACATTCATATATACAGTACAAGAAAAATAATTCATAAAACCACAGGAGTTAACCCTTAATATTCCTCCTAGTAATTAATATATAATAAAATATGATTCTACTAATTAATGTAAGATATAAAATCAGCTCATGTATTTGAGAAGGCTTCAACTTTAACTTGATCAGAACTTAGGTAAAGAGTGATAGGTCAGTTTCTCAGTTATAGAGATATGCCAAATATTTTGGTACCAGAGCTCCATTTTCATAATTTTATCTTTCTTTCTTTTTTTTAAAAAAAATTATTAAACATTTTTTAAAAAACAAACAAAAGGAAAGCTTTAACACTTTTTTTGTTTCAACAGTTTTGCATCCGACAAAAATTTCATAGTTATACATTTCCCTCCCTCTCTTATTTCTACTACTGTATATCATTTATACATATACTTCTAAACTTTGTTTATTTACATATATTCATAACAATACCCATGTACCTATTTTCATTTCTACAATTTTTGTTTCCTCATATTAACAATTATACTTCAACTGACCTGGTTATCTACGGGACCGCCTGCTACCACCAATAGCCTCCCACCGGCCAGTACGCTCCCATAGAGAGGGGCTCCTCCGGGTGCCGTCGGCCAAACAATGTCGGCTGGCGGCCCCCAGGGGGAGAGCCTTCTCTGTGGGGGCACCTACGATCTGGAACGAGCTCCCCCCAGAGTTACAGAGGATCCCAGATCTTCGCACCTTCCGTCGCGCGCTTAAAACATTTTTATTTCATCAAGCCGGCCTGGCCTAAATCATCTCCTCTTTTAAATTTAAATTTTAAACTTAAATTTTTAATCTGTTTAATTATGGGGTATTTTAAAATTCAGCCTAAATTATTTAATTTGTTTTAATTTATTTTAGATTTTGTATTTCCTGTGTTTTATCTTCTGGCTGTTCACCGCCCTGAGTCCTTCGGGAGAAGGGCGGTATAGAAATTTAATAAAATAAAATAAAAAAATAAATAACTCCTATTTCTACTGTTATTTAATTTTTCCCTTCCTTTTATCTCTCTCCTCCAACCATTCATACCATTTCTCCCTCACTAAGTAATATTCTGTTTCCTCTTTTTCTTGTATCTCCTTTGTTAATTTATCCATCTCCGCACATTCCAAAACTTTTCTAATCAGGTTTTCTTCGGATGGTATATTGTCATTTTTCCAATTCTGAGCACAGATTATATTTTTATCTTTCTAGTGTTTAGTTATGGACATTTGGGAGCAGAGCTTCTCAATGTTTTACTTAGGTTTTGTAACACCCTGTCCTGTGTGCATGTGATATATAAAAATTATTGTGCAGCTTACATTTTCTTGAATTATACAGTTGCATTAATACCCAGTTCAATTGTATTATTCACACAGTTAGCATGTGGCTAAAGTGTAATACTATTCTGAGCATACCAAAGTTTGATATATTTATTTATAATTGTGGTTAATTTACAGTTTTTATGTTTACAGTTTTATACAGCTAACAAAATTTATTGCATAAATTATGTGTGATCTTCTGTTCCTATAATTTTAATTGCCCCTTTTGTCCATCTTCTGCTGCTCTCTTAATGTCTAATTCCCCTATGAATAATAAAAATGCTACCCCTACAGAATGATATCACCCACTTTGAGAAACACTATTCTAGAGGCAATTAACAAAAATAGC